GGAGGCCAAAGTCATTGATTTGTCCTTAGGTGTTTGAAAGATGTTAGCTCTTGCTTCAAACCGGCCTTCCAACGGCCCAAGACGGCCCAAACAGCCTCCAAGACTGCCCAAGAATCGCCCAAGAGGGCTCCAAGATGGCCCCACGACAGCCCACGAGGCTCCCAAGACGGCCCCCAAAGGGCCCCCCGGACGGCCCAAGAGGCCTCCAAGACGCCCAAGATAGCCTCCAAGACGGCCCTGCAGCGGCCCAAGAAAACCCCATACGGCCCAGAGAGGCTCCCGAGACGGCTTCCGACGGCGTCAGACAGGCCAGGAACGACGTAAGACGGCCAAAGAGGCCCCCACGAAGCCTCCGAAGGCCCCCATGAGGCCCAAGGAGGCCCATAAAAGACCTCCTTGGGCCTCCGAATGACCCTCCGCGCCAGAGCCTCCGCGCCAGTGGAGCCATCTCTGGCGTCAGGCGGGCCAGGAAGGCTCTCAGACAGTCACAGAGCCTCCCAAGGAGCCTCCAAAGGCCCACAAGAGGCCCAAGAAGACTCCAAGAGGCCCCCTGAAGCTCCCTGGAGGGCCCCAAGAGGGCCCCAAGAGCTCCCAAGAGTCCTCCTCCTTCTCATTGTCCTCTTCCTCCTCCTCATCCTCCTCATCAGCATCAGCATCAGCATCAGCATCAGCATCAGCATCAGCATCAGCATCAGCATCAGCATCAGCATCAGCATCAGCATCAGCATCAGCATCATCATCATCATCATCATCATCATCATCATCATCATCATCATCATCATCATCATCATCATCATCATCATCATCATCATCAGCATCAGCATCATCATCATCATCATCATCATCATCATCATCATCATCATCATCATCATCATCATCATCATCATCATCATCATCATCATCATCATCATCATCATCATCATCATCATCATCATCATCATCATCATCGTCATCATCATCATCATCATCATCATCATCATCATCGTCAGCATCATCATCACCACCACCACCACCACCATCATCATCATCATCATCATCATCAGCATCATCATCATTACACCAGCATCATCAGCAGCATCATCATCACCACCATCGTCATCATCATCATCATCACCACCGCCATCATCATCATCATCACCATCACCATCATCAGCAGCAGCATCATCACCACCACCACCATCATCACATCAGCATCAGCATCATCAGCATCATCATCTTCATAACCGTCATCACCATCAGCAGCATCGTCATCACCATCAGTATCAGCATCATCATCACCATCATCATCACAATCACCATCAGCATCATCAGCATTATCATGACCATCAGCATCATCAGAATCATCTTCATCACCATCAGTATCATCATCAGCATCATCAGCAGCAGCATCAGCATCACAATCATCATCATCACCATCATCATCATCAGCAGCATCATCGTCACCATCATCATCAGCAGCAGCAAATTCATCATCTGCATCATCAACAGTATCACCATTAGCATCATCAGCATCATCAGCGTCGCCGGCGCCGCGCGCCCGCGGCCCGCCCAGAGGCGGAGCGATGGCAGCACGCAGCCGACTCGAACAGACGGTGCTGTGCGGGTGCCACCCGCGTCAGAGGCCGTGCTTGCGGGGTGGCCAGTCCTTCAGCGAAGGCGAACAGAGCTTGAGGGCGGTAAAGGCCCGTCGTGGGTGCGGTGGCTCCAGATCCGTACTGATCCGGCCATGCCGTGACGTTTGCCAGTCGTGGTACCCGACGAGCATCGCAAAACCCTAGCTTGAAAGGAATGCGCTCGACAATCATGTCACAAACCCTAGCCCTGAAACAGGAAAGTTAACAATGCTTCGACAAGCAACTCACAATCATCGCTCAACCCTAGCCTTCACAAGAGGGTGCCTGAAGTGCGGCGCCACGGCAGGTCCTCCGCCGCTGACCGCCGCCAGCAAGATAATCTGTCTACCACCGCCAGCGGGGTGCCTGTGTCAGTATACGCCGCCACAGAGTCGCGCATCTCGTGTCTGAGAACATTCGTGTACCGCTGTCAGCACGCGCCAGCAGCTGTCGCACTCTGGGTCACCAGAGAACCATGATGTGTTCGGAGGGGCTGCATTGCCAGAGCCCTGTCCCGTTTTTTCATCCTGCTGTTCCCTCTCTCCCTCCCTCCCTCCTCCTCGCCCATGCTCTTTAGTCCCAGCCGCGTAGCCGATACTTGCGACGGAGTTGGTGGCGTTGACCCGGCTGGCCGCGACGGATAGCTCTTCTGAGCAGCAGCGGAGTTGTTTCTCCTCTGGACGGTCCTGCTTTCGCTCCTGATCCTGACCGCCTGCGTCTCTTTCTCTTTGGGCCCGGTGTCCTCCTCGCCCACGCTCTTCCCCACGCCCCTCCCTCCCCATCCCTCCGCGTCCTGGGGGGCACGGCTAGGGCCCCGGCTCCTCCAGTTCCTCCTCCCTCCTCCCCGCTGCTGCTGCTGCGCACGCGCTGGGACGCATGTCCCCTCGCGTCCTGCATCATCAGCATCAGCAGCATCATCACCAGCAGCATCATCAGCATCATCAGCATCATCATCAACAGCAGCAGCAGCATCATCAGCATCCTCATCATCCCTTTTCCTCCCTCGTCCTTTTCCTCTTTTTCCCCCAAGGTTTCTCCGAATGGTTCCGACATCGGCTGGAGGGACACGCAGTCCGACAGCGTGGCCGAGCTCTGGCCGCAACGTTCGGCCACAGGCGCTTCCAACAAGGCAGCGGGCGACGGTGATTTGCCATAGGCGTCTTCGATCCGCCGCCCCCTGTGGCTTGCACAGGGGTGCACGGCGTGCCTCATTTCAGGTAATTGTTGGTCCATACTAGTGGACCTTCGGGCCAACCCGCTGGCCACCCGGAGAGCCGGGTAAAGAAAAAATCGCCCCAAGACGGCCAAAATGGCCCCAGATGACCTCCAAGTTGCCTCCAAGACGGCCAGGACGGCCCAAGACAGCCTCCAAGACGGTCCCAAGATGCCTCCAAGACGGGCCAAGATGCCCCCAAGATAGGCCAAGATAGCCTCCAAAACGGTGAAACTATGTCTCCAAGACGGGCCGAGATGTCCCCAAGATGGCCCAAGATGGCCTCAAGACCGGCCAAGACGGCCCAAGAGACCTCCAAGACGGCCCAAGCGGCCTCCAAGAGAACATCCAGGACAAACCGAAGAGGCCAAAGTGACTGATGTCCCATATGTTTGAAGGATTTGGCCGTCTGCTTTTTGTTCTGCCTCCAGACGGTCCAAGACGGCCCCACAGGCCAACCAGATGGCCCCATGATCGAGCGCCCAGGAGGCCTCCGAGATGGTCCCCTGACGGTCAAAGAGGCCCCCAAGACGGCCCCCACGGCGGCTCAAGAGGCATCCAAGACGCCCAAGATGGCCACCAACACGGCCCTGAAGCGGGCCAAGAGGGCCCCAAGTCGGCCCAAAGAAGCCCGCAAGACGGCTTCCGACCGCGTCAGACGGGCCAGGAACGCCCTCAGACGGCCAAAGAGCATCCCAAGAAGCCTCCAAAGGCCGCCAAGAGGCCCAAGGAAGCCCGCAAGAGGTCTTAGAGGCCCCCAGGAAGCTCACAAAGGCTCCCAAGATGCCTCCTCCTCCTCCTCCTCCTCATCCTCCTCCTCCTCCTCCTCCTCCTCCTCCTCCTCCTCCTCCTCCTCCTCCTCCTCCTCCTCCTCCTGAACGCGCTCGGAGAGAAAGTTGATGTTGATGCCAGTGGGACACGTGTACGAGGGACCGCGCTACATCCCAGGCCAGCGGAAGCTGACCGCGTGAACATGTACACATGTCCAGCGGCGAGCAAGGCGGGGAACTGAGAAGGAGAAGGCCTTCTCAGAAGGCTCGGAAGTCCCCCGGCCTTCTGAGAAGTTTCCTAAGCCTTCCCTGGAGACAGAACAACTTCTCAGAAGGCTGGAGGGCTTCTGAGGAGCCCCGCCGCCTTATGAGAAGGCCTTCTCCTTCTCGCTTCGCCCCCTCTCTCGCCGCCGATATGCTGTTGGCCCCTAATTGAAGGGGGTCGTTAGGGGGGGACCAGCTTCAGACGGGGGAAACATCGACCAGCAATCGGCGATGCATCGCACATCGCCGATGGATCGGCGACAGGCCCCCCATAGCGAATCCGCACGTCCCTGGGCGGGGTGTGGTTATCGGGCCCCTATCGGCGATCGATGTGGGCGACTGGGGCTCGGTGAATCGCCTCCTGAGCCGATCCCCTGGCAACCGTGCCTCCTGGCTTCCCGGTCGCTATTCGGCTGCACCGCGGCCTGTCGGGACGCTCCGGGCACCCCGCGGGCCGCATGCTCTCGGCGAGGCACCGCTGCCGAAAGGCACCCCGCGGCTGGAACACCGCCGAGGACCGACGAAGGGTGCCCATGTTCGGAGATCTTGGATTGGAGGATCCGTCGACGATCTTTCGACGACGCCGACGACGACGACGACCACGACGACGACGACGACGACGACGACGACGACGACGAAGACGATGACGACGACAAAGACGCCCGAGAACCTCGAGCCCCTCGACTGCACGACCCGCCCCCCGCAGGCCCGCACGGCGGGCCCCCCCGGCGGGCCCTGGCGGGCGGGAAGGAGCCCGCCGAAGCCCGCAGGCCGCCCGGGGGCAGAAAGACCGCGGCGCCGCACCGCCGACGTCGGAGCTCACCAGGGCACGCAGGAGAGAGCTCACCAGGGCCGCGAGGAGGAGGAGGAGGGGGAGGAGGAGGAGGAGGAGGAGGA